GTAGGATAAGCATTGGACCATGAAGTCAGTTTGAATCTAAAGGTCAGTGGTTCAAGCTCACCAGCTGCTCCTGTGAAACCCTATACATGGTTGCTATGAGTCAGAATCGAGTATACAGCACTTAACAACAACATGTGGTTATGTGGTTACTTCCTGATTTTGAAGATCATGTTATAGAAAATTATGAAGCATCTGATTGGTAAATTACTCTCAAATGATTCAAGGCAAAAAAACTTCCTTGTACTGTACTTGCAACTTTTCAGTAAGTTTGTGATAGTTTCAATGGTAAGATAAGTAAGTCAAGGACATGTGTGAAGAGTGAGCAAAGAGTGTGTAGCTAAAAATTGTGGGCAACTCCAAGACTGTGGGCCTTAGACACCCTTCAAGCCTGGAACTTAACCCTTAGCCTCCAGCTCGAGGATGAACTTTCAGTCAAACAATAGCTAGCCCTACAAAAACACCAGGAAGGACAAGTACTTCACAGAACAATCAACGGCAGAAGACCAAAAGGGCAACATTTGTTCAAAAACAAAGTTCAAAAGGCAGGAAGGGAAAGGAGAGATGGGCAAATGGAATGGAAAGAGTGTTTTTACATTGGTTACATTAAGAGATTGCAAGTAATGTCACGAAACAAAATGTGCATAAACTGTTGAATTAATAATTTTCTCTATTAACTGTCACTCAAACTACCATAAAAAGTTTAAAAAAATTATAAGCAATTTGTTTTAGAAATAGTGGTGGTAATTATATAGTGTTGTGGATATAATTAATGCCAATGAATTGTATACTTTAAAATAGTTAAAATGCCAAAGTTTATGTTATATACATTTTACCACAATTTTAAAATATATAGGCAGTTATAACCAGAAAATTTATTAATAAAAATATCTTGTTATTCTCCTGGGTTTGTTTACGAAGTTTGTGTTTTCTGACAGTTTATTTTAAATTTATAATTTATAGTAATTTGTTTTCTCATGGTTAGCATTTGTTTTCACATTTGATTTTCTATTCTTAAAATCAATATTCACTCCAGGACTTTTTTTCTTTTTTTTTTTTTTTACAGCTTTTATTGTGAAATGAGTGATAGTTTACATGGGACATGGGAAGACATCAGTTTTGCACCCATTTGATCATATTTCATATCATTGCAATGATTACAATCTACTCCATGCATCCATAGTATTTGCTTCTATTTCCTCTGGGGTTTCTTGGTTTTGTTTTGTTGTGTTTTATTTTTTTATGTATATAAAAACACTTAGGAATATATAATAATTTAAACAATCCAAGGGCACATTCTGGAAGCCTACTTCCTGGCTGCCAACACACAGCTTTTCTCTTTCTGTGTGTCTAGAGTCTTCAGCTCCTCTATATCTCCATGGCATCATCTTTGCCTACTCTTGGCCATTCTTGACACCATTTTAAAGGTAAGGAAACTGAGGCACAGAGAAATGAAGTCATTTGCCCAAAGTCACTCAACTAAGAAGCAATGAGGTAGAGTCCGAACCCATGCAATCTGATTCCAGCATCTCCTTCAGTGGAATGAGGTAAAGATCCAGTGAGATAAAAGGACATAAAAGGAACTTTATAAATTCAAGGAATCAAGCTTATTCACAGTTTAATGAAAAAATATGGGTACTTAATTCCTTAGGCAGAGGAAAAGAGGAGTAAAGGTCCCCTGTTGAATGCCAGAAATTGCTTGATCTTGACATCGGAATGTCACTTTGTCCTCACAGCAGCCCAGATGAGCTCCTGAGGTCCACAGAGACCACACAACCAGATTGTCATGGAGCCAGGAGCAGATGCCAGGTCTATGTTCCAGCATTTATCTCTTCCTTCTTAGGGCACCAGGCTGCCCTATACTGTGGTTGCAAAAGGTTTGCCAACCTAAGTTTGCCTGGGATGTGACACAAGTGAGGACTCCTCACCTTCCCATGCCCCACTCGAAAACAGATGCCCAGGACAGATTTGATATGTGGTGAGTAAAGCAATGTTTCTGCCCAGAACTCAAGTGGGCATCACCTTCAGACCCAACAGCAACAAGGTGCGTGCCCACCTAGGTAGCCACCAGCTCTGGGAAACTCAGGCAGCACAAGGTTGCATGACTGGGCCATGTATGACTTCTGAGTGAGACAGATCTGGCTTCTGTCCCTTCCTAGCTGTGTAACCTTGGGCAAGGGGCTTCACCTCTTTGAGTCTCAGAAAGTAAAAATCTTGCCTCTTAAGGACGCTGTGAATATTAGAGAGGCAAGTGCCTAGCACATAGCTGGTTCTCAATAAACGGCAGCCATATTTCACGATCAATCTGTGAGAGGTGGTCTTTCAGTAGCTCTGGAAATTCAGGTTGGAGTGAGTGAGCTCTGAAGGACCTTATTTCTGCAGAGTTTCTAGAGCTGGAGTCTAGAAGGGCCTCTAGCTATTACCATGGCCCAGTCCTCCAATCTTCCAGGATCCTGACTTCTCACCCCCTTGTCTCTTACTAATAACAGATGCAGGGCCCCAAGGTTAGGCAAACAAGCCAGTGATAAGGCACTTCCAGGTTGGGCCTGTGTTCAAGGCTTGTCCAGCTCTGCTGCTGGCTGGCTTAACAAGAGCCCTGATCCTGTTTGAGCTTAAGAGTGGGGCACCAGTAGGGACACCTGCCATGATCGCTTGCTGATTGTGCACCTGAGGCCTTGGTCCCCTGATACAGCCTGGGTTAATGACCTTGTTTATTCGCTTGAGTCATCCGATAAAGGGCAGCAGGGGCAGCTGGCAGGCAGCCCTGTGCTCTGCAGTGGCCCTTTCATTGACTGAAGTGAATCTCGGCTCCACGTGGAGCTCCTCTTGTGCCCCTCCCCCACCAGTCCTGCCAGGGTCAGTGTATGAGTGTGGTTTTTTTTTTTTTTTCAATGAACATGACTTCTGGAGTCAAGGTTGTTCCCCCCTCCCGCCCTAGGGAATATAAATAGTACCCACAGCACAGAGCAGAGGGCGGGAGAGCTGGAAAGAAGGAGAAGCAGATCCGGATCATGAGTTCCAGTCAGCCCGGGGCCTGCCCATGCCAGGGTGCTGCAGGCCGCTCGATCATCCTGTATGCACTCCTGAGCCCCAGCCTCAGGACCAGGCCCTCTGTCTCCCCACCTGGTGCTCGCTGCCTCTGCAGGCAGCACAGACCCGTCTGCCTGAGGACTCCTAATCGTACCTGCCGGGAGGCCTTGGATGTCCTGGCCAAGATGGTGGCCTTCCTCAGGAACCTGCCATCCTTCTGCCAGCTGCTCCCCCAAGATCAGCGGTGGCTACTGCGAGACTGCTGGGGCCCCCTGTTCCTGCTTGGGCTAGCCCAAGACACTGTGACCTTTGAGGTGGCTGAGGTACCAGTGCCCAGCATACTCAAGAAGATCCTGCTGGAGGAGCCCAGTGGCAGTGGTACCAGCGGTCAGTTGTCTGACAGGCCCCAGCCCTCACTGGCTGCAGTGCAGTGGCTTCAGTGCTGCTTAGAGTCCTTCTGGAGCCTGGAACTGGGCCCCAAAGAATATGCCTACTTGAAAGGGACCATCCTTTTCAACCCTGGTGAGCTCCCAGACACTCCTGGAGGAGGGTGGAGGTTGGAAGGGGGGTGGGTAAGGCTGACCCAGAGAAGATGCCTTCTAAACGTTTGACATCCTTTACCTCATTGGGGCCTCATGATCATTAAATACCTACCTCACAGAAGAGACCCAGCAAAACTGGGTGACTTATTGAAGATCACACAGCAAGCAGGGACAGGACAGTATCAGGTGTATTCACACCAGATACTAGTCCTTGTTACTCTGCCCGCCCCCCAAATTTTTCACTATTCTTAGAGGAGGCAAGAATTAGGGAGGTGAGATGGGTGGACTGTTTTGTCAATCACATCTCTAGGGGCAGACAGTGTAGTGAGGTGCTAAAGGTAGAGTACTGTGCGTTCAGAAAGACTACAGAGAAGGGAAGAACAACCGAAAAGAATGGAGTGTTTATGAAATCCAGCCAGGAGAGCAACAGATGGGGATGCTGTTCTTTATAATCTGGAGAGCATCTGAGATGAGAGTTCCCCACCAAAGGGCCTCGCAGAATGCTTAATTATAGTAATTAATTATAATAATAGTGAATACTCAATTACACTTACTGTGGGTTAAAGCCCTATTCTAAGGGTTTTACAGATAGCAGCTCATTTAAACTAAGTCTATGACTAGGTACTTTTATTTCCGTTTTGCAGGTAAGGAAACTGAGACACAGATATTAGATAACTTGCCTAAAGTCACATAGCTTATAAGTAATAGCATTGGGATTCCAACCCAGACAGCTCTTAACTGAAAACTTTATACTGCCCCTCCATAAATGGATGCATGAATAAAATGATCAATAAAGAGAAGGAGGAGGTGTCACAGCGGGTCTCAAGGCTGAGCAAAGGAGGCAGAGGGGTGTCTTTTGGCAGCCTTGCCCTTTGGTGGATGGGAGTGGGATGCTTACCAGCCCTCTTTACTCTCTCTGCCCACAGACGTGCCAGGCCTCCATGCTTCCTCCCACATTGGGTACCTTCAGCAGGAGGCTCACCAGGCGCTGTGTGAGGTTCTGGAGCCTTGGTGGCCAACAGGTCAAGGCCGATTGACCCACATCCTTCTCATGGCCTCCACCCTCAAATCCATTCCACCCGGCCTGCTTGGGGACCTCTTCTTCCGCCCTATCATTGGAGACATCAACATCAGTGGCCTTCTTGAGGACATGCTTTTGCTGAACTAACCTGCTTTGATCTAGGCCAAAATCAGGTAGAGATTGGGCAGAGATTTAGCAGCTCTGACTCATCCTGGCTGGATGTCCCCAGGAGGGATCCAGTGCTCCTTGAGGGATAAGCCTGTATAGACAAGTTGGGCCTTGTCCAGCCCGATGGGCTACGGGGCCCTCACTCAGCTCCACCCTACTCTAGAGTTCTTTGGTTTGGACACCGTGCTCCAGCTGTCTGGCTCTTGGTGGTCCTCAGAGTCTCTGGCCCAAGACTACTGTCCCTCTGGGATGAGGGTGGAAGGTGAGGCTGCTCATTGGGCCAAACATCTACTGACTTTGTACAGAACTTACTTAAGTTATTGGCTTTTGTAATAAAAGGTGTGACACCCTTGGAGTCTGACACTGTTGTGTGTGTGTGTGTAAGGGAACATCTCACCTCCAGGGCCCATCCTGCCCCTTTCCCCAAAGAAGAAAGATCCACAAGGAATATATTAATTTTTTAAGATAGGATCATGGTTTCGTTGCTGGGAATGAGATTTATTTTGCATCTGGGTCTGAATTCAGGGGACAATATTAGTTCACAATCCCCTGACTGCTTTGTCTTTATCCTTGGAGAGAGGGAACTTCTCCCCCATCCTCAAACCCCCACTGAATTCTTCTCTGAGCCTCACTCCCTACAGGAGTGACCCTGAGGTTAGTAGCCCAATTCATAACCACTACACTACCAGCTCTGATAGCGTAGTGGTTATGAATTGGGCCGTGAACCGCAAGGTCAGCAGTTCGAAACTACCAGCTGTTCTGAGGGAGAAAGATAAAGCTTTCTGCTCCTGTAAAGATTTACAGCCTCGAAAACCCTGTACAGTGTCGCTATAAGCTGGAACTGACTCCATGGCACATAACAACAACAACCAGAGACAGGTGGCTAAAAACCTGCATCACTTCCATGACAGTGATTTAACAATCACTGTCCTAAACCTACTTCAGTTCTCTTCCACTGCCATCTGCCCAGTTCCTCTTCTGGGACATTCTTCCAAGTCATTCCCATTGTCTAGCAATACTTGATTAACCATGGCCTCTAGGGTTGCTCTGCTCCATGTTGTTAACTGTTTTGAATATTACCCCTGGGTCAGAGTAACTGACCTGTAGGGTAGTAGGGTAGTAGGAGGGATCATAATACACCTGCCTATAGGATCCCTTTTCACCCAGCTCCTCCTTTCTCCAGCAATAGGGTCTGTCCTGGCCAAGTCCCACCCCCATCACCAATACAGTTTGGATTCTTCTCACGTAGGCCAAGTTAATTATTGCTCAACAAAAGGTCATTCACTTGGGGACAATAGTCTAGGAGTTGTCACTCAGTTATCTCCATATAGTTCTCAGTTTAGTGACCACAGCTGAACTGACCATACCACCAGTATGGACTTCCAGTGCTAGTAGCAAAAGTACCTCTGTCCCTTATCCAACCACCAATTCACAACTCAGACAAAAATAAGTAACTCAGGCCCCACAACAAAGATACACACAACTCAGACCTATGGGTCTGATACACACACAGAAGACTAAGTCAGACACAACTACACAGACCCACAAATGAAATCCACCACCCACACTCAGCACAGAAATGCACAGAACAGATCCACTCAATGAAGGACCTATGGCAAGCCATACAGTTGCACATATGCTCCTGCTCTGAGGGTAGGACACACAACAGGAGGTACCCCCAAACAAGGACATATTCTTCCTGGTCAGTGTGCTACAATAAAGGGGAAAGTGTTCCTATGTCTGCACATTTTCAGGGACACTCCAGAGACTGCAAATCCAGGCCAAACTTCTCTGCCTGTCCTCTGGAGCCTTAACAAACCAATCAGTCCCATTTCCCCTATGATGGAGCCAACATTTGTCCTCCTACAGCCAGGCCACCCCCTATTTAACAATTCTATCTAGGAAGTGCCTTCCTTCCAGCTAGGACCTAACCAAATCCCCAAAGTGAAGCATCCTTTGGAACCTATAACAAGTCCTGTGCTAACCCCTACTACCCATTCTTCCAGAGCCAAACTTCAGGCTCTCAGCTGCTCTCCCTTGGCACGCCCACCCCATCTTACCATGCAAAGTTCCCCAGTCAACTGGCAGGGATAGAAAGTACTTGGGTCAAGTTTCTTAAACAGAATTTTAAAGTTCCTTAAGTCAAAGTGAGCAGATTCAGGGACTTTGGGTCATTCTGTATCTTTTATGCCCTTCACTGATGGTGGTGGTTGTGGTGGTTATGAGCCATGGAGTCAGTTCTGACTCATAGCGACCCTCCACAGGATTTTGGAGGCTGTAAATCTTTAAGGAGTGCTGGTAGCGTAGAGGCTGTGAATCGTGCTGCTAACCACAAGGTCGGCAGTTCGAAGCTACCAGCCATTCCACAGAGAAAGATGAGGCTTTCTACTCCCGTAAAGATTTACAGCCTAGGAAACCCTGTACGGGGTCATTATGAGTCAGAACCGACTCCACGGTACATAACAACAACAAATCTTTACGGGAGCAGGAAGTCTCATCTTTCTCCCACAGCACAGCTGGTAGTTTTGAACTGGCTATACCTTGAGTTTAGCAGTCCGACTCAACCACTACGCTACTAGAGCTCCTTCATTATCTGCCCCCATTATTTAGCTGAAACACTTCTCTGAACCCTCAGGCTGAATTTTCCTACTCACCAACTTTCCCTTCCTCTAGTCTTAACCTCTACAAAACATTCCTTTCCACTTCTCACCCTAGCCCTCTTTCTTCAACTTCCTAAATGTTTCTGTCATCCACATAACTTCCTTTATGGAGTCTATCTTGCTCCTTTCCAAAATTCTCCCTCCCCTTCTATAAGGTTGGGGACCTATACCCCTGTCTGTTTCTTTTCTGTATCTCTTATGTCACTCTCTGTGCCCTATCCCCAAGCTTTGTGCTAAGAACATAAAGATAAATACAACAAAACTAAAGACATAAATATGGTACAATATAATAAAGGCAATAATACTTTCTCCATGAGACTCAAGGCTCCCAAGTAGTCGAATATGTCTCTATTATCAGAAGTTCATAGAAGTGGGATCTATGTCTCATCTCCCAGGAAAGCTAGAGGGGGACACAGGCTCAGACAAGTGTATGTAAGTTACTCAAGGTTCTGGGCTGATATTATCTGCCTTGGGATTTGAACACAGGCCTGCATGGTACTGGAGGCTGAACTCTCACCACCAGCTCAGACTGGAGTGAATCAGGATGGGGATCAGGTAGTCTGGAGCCAGCTCAGCCACTGTTTACAGACAGTCTACTTTTAAATCAGGACAGAGGTCTCCAGGTCCAGTCAGGTGTCGGGGACCCGCCTCGACATTGGGGTTCAGTTCACGAGGAGGGGATACCTGATGGCGATTGCAATATATCAAGAATACACAGAAAGAGACAAAGAGAGAGACAATGAGGCACCCCAAAGCCAGGGTGGATACATCACTGGTGGGCAGGCTTGGGACTACAGGCATCGTGGCCTCTGCAGGCAGCAACTCACTGCCCTGCACTCTTTACCGCATGCCCTCCAGCCTGTAATGCACTGCCATCTTTACTCCAGGCCTGCCAATCAGTAATGCACACCTGGGGAGGCCCGGGCCTCTGTTTTATTTAGGGGAGGAGCTTCACACCAAGCTGGGAGGGACTTAGGCAAGGTATAGTTAACATCAGTACTTTTCCAGACATTCAGGTAACTTTACATCGTACTTCGCTAGTTCGAATCCCAGGCCCACAACTTGGTTTCTCAGGCCCAATTAACATATCTATAGCCCCTGAGCATAGTTGAGGGAAGGTGAGAGATAAAGACAAAAGCTTGGGCGGAGTCCTGCTGCTTTGGCTTCCTGAGCCAGGTCTGCAGGAGGACTGAGTGAATGGGCTGCACCTGGAAAAGGATTAGGGAGGATGGGTTCTTTGTCTATAGAACAAAGAACCGAGAGAAGTAGCTAAAATGTTTTTAGTTAATCCTTTTGGAGAAAGGCTTAACCTTGCAACCTTTAGTCTCGGCTTTAGGAAAATATCACATTTATCTGTGGATTGTCAAAGGCTCCAGTGTATTAATTTAATATATATAACTGAATATTAAGATTAAAGCAATTTGCCATTAACTGCCAGTGGCCTCATTTATTACACTCGGCCCTAGAGGGCCTCGAACCTCTGACTAGTCTTACACGGTCTGCAACAGTCAGGGATGACTCATTGGAAAGCATGAGAATGGATGTGGCTTTTGGTCAGTCTAGGGTACTTTTTTATTGCCACTGCTATTGTTGCCTTCATTAGCCAAATCATTAATTGCTTGTTAAGCAGGCTGTCAGGCATTTGATATGTGTGGTGCCTTGAACTGACATACTGTACCCTTGGAGTGTTCACATTCTAGAACCAAAAAGCCAACCTCCACTGTCTTCCATCCATTCTTTCTATCACTTAACATCTCGTGATGTTCACTTGCACCAGACTTTGTGCTAGATGCCAGAGACACAGAATACACGACACAACCCCTGCCCTACTAGAATTCACTGTCTGTTGCAAAGGAAGACACAGAAGTTCATTGTAAGAGAATGATCTGAAATGTACTAGACGGGCATACAACAAGCACCAGGAACACAGAAGAGAAAGTGGTTTTAAATCTGCCTGAACGTGAGAGGAACACTTCATCCAAATGATTGATGACTATTGTTGTTAAGTGCTGTTGAAGAGGTTCTGACTCATAGGGACCCCAAATAGGGTTTCAGAGGCTGTAAACCTTTTGCGTGAGCAGAAAGCCTCTTCTTTCTCCTACAGAGCAGTTGGTGGTCCTGAACTGCTAACTGTGTGGTTTGCAGCCCAGTGCTTAGCCTACAGAGCCACTGTGAATCTTCCAAGTAATGACTGATTTGAGTTAAAGAAACTTAATAGGGGTTTGCCTACCTCTTAACATCACAGAGGTTAGGATTACAATGTATAGGATAATTACATCAGATCACAAAATGGAGAATAATTACATAATACTGAGGATC